CTTAAATTTTGGGAACATAACATGGTATTTTTTCTTAAAAAGTAAGTAATTTACTTATTGTGAATTGGATTTTGGGTAAAAGTGCATGTTTTTAAAGATCTTTTTTTAATTTGGCAGAGGAGGAGCCTGTTAATTTCTCATACTATAGAAGGGAGAAAAGCCATAGAATTTTGCACATTAGTACCGTTTTTCTTGTTGATTTTTCTTCAGTTTAAAGTGTATAAAGCTATATATCTGATGCAAAAATTGTTTGAATTTTAAAAAAGTGTAATTCCAATTTATCTCCGTAAAAGCGAATGGCGCATGCACAAAATCATTGCTAAACAGATCAAACCCTACTTAAAATAGCAAAATAACACTTCATTCTGTTTACGTACATTAATAACAGAGACATATATATTCTATGTTACAACTTTTTTCGGGAATCAACCATATAATAATGGAACCAATATGATTTAACTATAATTGATAATTTTTTTTAAATATTTTATAAGATATAGATTTATACAATTTAACAACTATTTCGTTCATGCTTTAGGCTGCACCATTCCGTATTAAGGGATGTATTTTGAAAGTTGTTGAGAGATTACATGAAGAGTTTGTGAAGATGTTACAGGCATGTGATGCTCATAATACTGAATATGTTGAAAGGTAATGTTTGATACAGTATAACTTCGGCTAAGTGGTACATACAACTGATGCTTGTTGAATACAGTATAACTTCGGCTGAGCAGATACCTCTTATTATGACATCCCAAATGTAACATTCACATAAAAAATTAATCTCTGTAGAAGCAACACCTCTCGACAGCAACCAAAATATTTATCTCCTATAGGGTGTTGCTCTGCAAAGGTAACGTAAGGGGAACAGTGACCTAGTGGTTAGGGTGTCTGCCTCTCAACCCAGAGATCATGGGTTCGAGCCCTAATTTGGTCACGATCATGTTTCTTCATACAACACCAATACTGATTTGTACCAGGAAGTGAACTCAAAAGTGATTAATATACGGTGGAAGAACTTGTTTCACAATAGAGCTTCAATAAATATGTTTAAACCAAAGGTTTTGCTGTATAAGTTAACAAAATTAATCATTTTCTATGTTTCAACCTTACCAAGATCTCCTTCAGTTCAAGAATGGGGTACAGATATATCCATTCCAGTTTTATTTCTTCGTTATTTAATTGAATAAACACAAATGTTACAGTAAAATAATTTCTCTCACAGGTTACGAGATGATGGGAAGGTGTGTGGTATTATAGATGATTTATTGGCGTACCTCGAGGGAAGAGCTACGTCTGAAGAGATTTGCCGGGTCTACCTGAGGAAGGTAGAAAGTACATATTACAAGGTAAGCTAAGTCTCGTGTTTGGTCAGGATTAAATGTATAACTTTGCTATCTTTGTCCATGGTAAATGGTTCATGGTTGGTTATAAACATGCTACAGTACTAAAAATGAATTTCCAACTTTTTCCTTGAAAATGAGTATTTCTGACTTGCTTTATTACTTTACACATCAGATCCTGATATGTTTTACAATATCTAGAATAAATGCGGTTTAATTTAATTTATTTACCATATACATATTTGCATTCTTGTTATTGAAATGTATTGATTAAATAAGACAGCAGTAGATATAAGTTTATCATACTGCACATTTGTAACATCGTTTTTCATTGGATAATTTTGACGTTTATATAGTTTTATATACTCAGCTGTCAGTTTATAAAGAAATCACACTTTTTCCAAAAAAAAAAGAGAAAGTTTTCTGTATTATAGATTTGTTATAAAGCTTCTTGATAGGTTATATGGCCATATACTAATGCTTGTTTGCAATATATCCCTCGTCTAGCTGCTAGGGTTATATTTTCAAACAACCGTTTATATTATTACTTATAAAGATGTTGACAGGTTATATGGCCCTATTTCAACGGCTGTTCGTAATATAACCCGAGCCGCTAGACGAGGGTTTTATTGCAAACAGCCGTTTATATAGGGCCATATAAAATGTCAGGAATCTTTATAACGAATTTATAATACACCAAGCATCATTTTGTTTAGAAAAAGTAAGGGATCTTCATATATCGACAGCAGCCGTGTATATAAACCTATATACACGTCACGATTATCCAATGAAAAGCAACGTTACAAACCTGCAGTATTATAAAGGGCCATATAACTGTCAAAAATCTTTATAACTAATGTATGGTAGCCAAGTTGATGGTAAGAGTTCATGACAACAGTTAGAAAAAATTGTTAAACTTGTAAAGATTTTGAATGGTTATTTTGAAATGAAAAATAAAAATGGAAGCTAAATCTATGATAACGATTCGCATTACGTAAGGTTTGTTATACGAATAGTTATGTTATATTTCAACACTTGCTCCCTAGCTGTTACAGATGGGTGATTGTTCTTAAGCAGATATGGACAAGTGATGTAAGTACATCTATACCAAGGACAGTACCGATAGATTGCGAACACGTGCCATACTGTGTCACATCTACCATCATGCCGTACATGATCGCTGGTTCCAGGCACGTGATCCCATGCTCATGTCACATCTCCAGGACACCATTCAACATTCAGATGTTCCTACATAGGTACTTTGTCATATTATATCTTGATTTTGATCACGTTTTATGGTGGTGTTTAAATTAACAGTCATTGAATTTAAGGTTTTGAATTTACTGGCCCGAATTCTAGTTTTGAATTTATTCTACAATGTATTTAACTACATTTTCTTAAAATTTTCACTGGCCATGGGCCACCGGGCCAGTGCTAAATTCGATGACTGAATTAAATTCTTAAGTTACATGCAATATAAAGGTTGTAGAATGGATACCGAGTATATTTTCCATAATAAATTTAAGGAACAAATGGGATAGAATAATATAATACGAACCTCTGTGTTGATTAATTTAGTAATAAAAGTATTCTATTTATCACAAACGTGTATAAGATTTATATTAAGTAAATTAAAGTAATTTGAACAGTAAAGTTACTTTTTTACATTAATGCATTTAAATTATGTGTAAATTTACACAATGATTGTAAAGGGCAAATGATGTTTAAGTCCTGCACAGCTATTACGCTAGTATTATATTGTTTTTATTAGCTTACCTGTCACAAAGTGACATGGTGAGCTTTTGTGATCGCTTTTCGTCCGGCGTGCATCCGTCCGGCGTCCGTAACCTTTTACTTTAAACGACATCTCCTCAGAAACCGCTAAGTCAATTTTATCCAAACTTCACAGGAATGTACCGTACCTTTGGTGACCACCTTTAAAAATTGTTCAAAGAAATTCCATGCAGAACTCTGGTTGCAATGGCAACCAAAAGAAAAAACTTATTATCTTAAAAAAACCAAAGAGCTAGAGCTTAGATATTTGGCATGAAACATTTTCTAGTTAGTCTATTCCAAGTTTGTTCAAATAAAAGCCATGGGGCCAAAACTGGCCCTGCCCCAGGGAGACAATGTTTTTCCATATATGTAAATATATATAACAAACGTGGAAGCACTATGAAAAATAGGAGGTGACTTTGAACAGAATTTGATTTAGTATTGACATTTGTTCTTCTATGAAAATTAACACTCATTTTTTGAAGAATTACAGCATTTTCATTGGATGACAAATAAAGTTGGACAATAATAACATTCTGCATAAACTCAAATAATATTAGTTACCATCTAGGCATAATTTTTAATTATTAGTTAAGTACTGAATCATAAGTGAACCACTTGTCATAAAATAACATTTAAGTTTTATTACCAGGGAAATTGAAATATCTACAAACTTTTTAACAGTGATTTAGGTCATTGTTTACTTAGTTTCCCAAGGCCCATACTTTGGTCAAAATCACTCATCATTTTCAGACCAAGTGGGGCCAAGTACTTTAAAATTCTCGGCAGATCTCTGGCATGTTGTTGTTGATATCAACATCATGGTGAGCTCTAGAAAAAAGCGTTCTCCGGACCTAATTTTCTGTTAATTTTCCTGCTGATTTCATGGTATCATTGATATGTTGATGTCAAAGTCTCAGAGTATTTTATTTCATAAACAATAACATTTTCATTTTCTCAATTTTATCTTAATACATTCTCAGTAAAAGGGATATGGAATATAATTAACTTCACAAAAAAGCTTGTTAATTACTTTTTCTTGATAATAAAACAAAACAAAATAAGATTCCTATAGAAATAATGAATACATAATGAATAAAGCTGCTCAAACGCTTTAAAAGTATCGAGTATCGGTATCGATATAATACCGTATCGTTTCACAAGTATCGGTATGGTATTATATCGTTTAGTTCTTAACGATATCCTACCCTACCTGTGACAGCTCTTGTTTTTAGGTACAGTCATGTTACAATACAGAATGTATAAAAAATTGTTGTCCGAACTGTAAATTTTGAAAACTTACACCTTAATTTTTTTGATGTTTACATTTTATTTTTTCATATATAAAAATTAAAGAAAAAAAATTTTTCCCCTCAAAATTTAACCCTTTGCTCTAGTGGTCCCTTTTATTCTGCATTTTTTGTCATTGTCTCATAAAGGAAAACACTTTTCAACATGATATTTTTAACAAAGGGCCTTTTTTTTAAAATTTTTGGACAAAAAATTTCAATTTATTTTAAGTTTAACAATGAAAAGATGGGTCAGATGAAATGATCAGGGGCCCCCTTGGCTCTATGTTTTTTTGAAAAAGGAAAAAAAAACCCAAATTTTGTTGTTTAAGTTTATTTTTCAAGAGGGGCAAAAATTTAAAAATTAGGTGGAAAATTGCCTTTGGGGAAAATTCATTTTTTAAAATTTAATTTTTTTAACACTGAACAACAGTTGTTTCTGGTAGGCGAATCAGGACCCTCTTGTTATATTTATATTTTTATTTTTAAAAATGAAAGAAAACACTGTAATCTGACCAGGGAAAAGAAAGAACACAGTATCATAAATGGAAAATAAAGTTCTCCTCTCCAACCCTGGTTTTATTTTCTTTAGAGCACATATACAAAAACCAACAAAAAACAAATGATATTGAATACCATTATAATGTTGCTAAATTTTAAGTGAGTGCTTGTTATCTAGAATAATGGTGATCTTGAATACTAGTTATCTTGAATGCTAGTTATCTTGAATGCAAAATATTGAATACTGGTGGTCTTGAATGCTGGTGATCTTGAATACTGGTGGTTTTAAATACTAGTCATCTTGGATGCTAGTTATCTTGAGTGCTGGTGATCTTGAAAACTGATGATCTTGAATACTGGTGATCTTGAATTCTACTGGTGATCTTGAATGCTGCTGGTGATCTTGATTAGGGTTGCTTGATCTGATGTACTTAATGGTAGTATCTTGTCTATCCTTGACTGCATCAATTGTCATTTCTTGGTTCTACACCATTTTATACACTTTGATATGATTGTTCCTCTCGTCAAAATAATCTTTGTATGTACTTAAATAAAGTGTACTTGTCTCAGCACACCAACATATAGCATGAGCATACTCCACATTCAGTATAGTTGTCATGTCTTTACAATCACTACTAACTCTATATATACATTCACCCGAGTAATTACTCACAAAGAAGGACCCGTCATCTAACAGTGAAATACCCTCTGGTCTTTCAATATCTACATTCCTTCCTATTATCTCTCCTTGCCAATTAAACCATATAACTTCTTTTTTGTCATGAGCAGATACATAGATTGAATGATTGTTTGTGGTGACATACCAAGGGTCACTGAAAATACTGTCACCATTGGAATCTCTCTCAACTGTAATTTTAATATTACCTTTCAAGTCCATGATTTGGAGTTTGCCAGGAAATGTAAATGTAAGTGCAAGTTTCCCCTGATGATGGCTTATTCCAAAGCACTCTCCATCTACTTTCAGTTTGTTTTTCAATGAGAGAGAGTTTGAGGAGAAGGAAATGAACTGTATTGTTCCAATGTGTGGTAATGTAACAGCGAGTGTATCTCTGGTCACTATGGTGATATCCCAGGGGCCTGATTCAAGCTGTAGTTGTTTGATTTTTTCACTGTTTATGTCTATCATTTTAATTGAGGAATTATTGTAATCTGCTACAAATAATTGATTTTGAGGAGAGACAGTTATACCAGAAATCTCGCAATCCTTTGTATCTGAGGATGTTTTAACATTGATGTTTCTGAGGGTGGACATTTTCACTGGTACTGCAGCCTTATTCTTTGGTTGAGCTGGTTGCTGTATTTCCTTTTTTCTCAATGCTCCCAATGACTTCTCATTCTGAAGGAGCTTTTTGATAGCATGATTTGGTTCAAAATTGTATTCATCAACATCATTGGTTGTTGGTAGTTTTTTTGCTATATTTTCATTGTGTAATATCTGTTGCTGAGCTGTTTTCAATTCAGTAAACAGTTGGTCAGTTTTCTTGTTGGTGTTGAGATGTTTTAGAGTATCACCTGTAGCTTGGAGTGATCTGTTGATGTTATCACATGTTATTTCTGTTGTTTTCAACTTTTTGTTGTTGTCATGCTGAATTGTTGTTGCAGTATCTTTAACCTCCTTTTCTAGTTCATCTAATCTCTTGTTTATCTCTGTCCTGAAGTTGTCTATCTCTGCTATAGCATCTTTCAGAGAATTTGTTGATTTAGCAACTAGTTGTTTCATATCTTTTGTAATCTGGCAGCATTTCTCTGTTAATTTGTGAATATCTGTAATAGTTTCTTTGAACTCTGTGCTGTTTAAAATCTGCCCTGATATATCAGGTATGTAGTCCACATTGCAGGATGTTTTTGTGTGTTCAAGGGTCACACATACACTACATATTAGTGTATTATGGTCATGACAGTAGAACTTGATCACTTCTTTGGTATGTTTGGTACAAGGCTTTGATAAATCACCATCCTGTGCGCCTGAAGTAGATTTTAATGACTTACTGAGGTTTTGTTTTTGTGGCATGTGATCTTTATCTAGAAGTTGATGATGGCTTAGTGGTTTTGGTCGCCTGTGAGTGTTATAGCAAGTTTGACATAAATGTACCTCACAATCGAGACAGTAACCAAAGGCAGGTAGTCTGATGTCATCTCTGTCACATTGATTACAGAATATGTCAAAATCTTCAGCACCACCTTGAGATAGTGTAGATGAGACTTTTTGAGATGACTTTTTACCAGGTACAGCCATAATATTGCCTAAAATAGAAATAAATAGATGCTTGATGTGGCTTTTTGTTCATAACAAATAAAGAAACTTGAAAGAAAATAATTTCTTTCTTATTCTTGCTATGAATTCATTTCATTTCATGGACATGAAATTTTATGGACAAAATGACTTTTTCAAAGGTTTATTTTAAATTTTCATCATTGTACTTTTAATTTGTACATGACTGAATATGTTTTTAAGCTAAGGATATCAAACCCCTAAAAAATGAACCATTATTACACCAAAATCTGCTGAATTTCTCAAATTGACATGTCTAGCCTCCATTTTCTGAACAGTCCATTATTAAATTGTGGGATATCAAGATATAAAAAAGTCAGTTTTAGCCCAGTAGCAAAAGCTTATCACTTTAGGCTCTGGTAAAATTGGACCATTTTAAAGGGCATCTGTGACTTTTAAAGGATAGATACATCGCTGTTGACACACCAAACCCAACAAATTTTTTTTTTAAATCCAGTTTGAGTTGTGGGTGGGGTACAGGAATTGTCTCTCAAGGTTATTCATGTTAAATCATTTTAGATTGATATATGAAAGTATATAGTAAACTATTAAAGTTTTAAACATAGATATTGAGTAAATTGATTGATATATTAAAGTATAAAGTAAACTTTATTTAAGTTTTAAACATAGATATTGAGTAAATTTACTCACCAGTGATTTATACTTCTCATTTGGATATTGAAAAAAAATGTCTTCTTAAGTTATTGATCCGACAAGTCGCACTGAAGTCTACTCAATGGTATGTAAACTTGTAGTAAAGATAAATTTATAAAATGATATCATGTTACACTCAATATACCCGGTATTACATTTAAAGCGGTAGTTTAAGGCTACTTCCTTCTACCTTTGTTTGGTATTGATTATTTAAATATATGAATAAATATGCAAGCTTGTAAGATTACGAAAATCAATTTAAAATTTATTGCATACTAACAGTCATTCAGAATAAAAAACTCAGTGATCTAGCAGGTTTAAAGTATCATTTATGTAGCTCTTTGTTTTGTTTTGGTTTGTTTTACAAAATGATTTCTTACATAGATATAATCAAAGTGGAAATATCACTGTATGTTTGTATAGTATAAATTGGACAATTTGAAATGACATTTTAAAGACTGGTTATCTTGATTTTGTGTATTTGTCTATTTTGGTTGTTATCAAGTTAGTTAGATAGTAAATTATTATATAGGTCAAAACGTAAAAGCAACAGTTTACTGTATCTGTTTAAAACATTTATTGTTTTTAACTAGGTTTTCCGAAGGAAAAAACTGGTTACTAGATTGAGGTATGTCGGCGGGCGGGCGGATGGGCGGGCGGGCGTAAACAATTTTTTCTGTGCGCAACTCCTCCTACATTTTTTCAACGGATTTTGACCAAACTTTCACAGAAGCTTTGTCATCAAGTGACCTGGCGCATATTGTCGGAGTTTTGTGATTGGATAAAATTTGACCTTATTATGGCCCTTTGTTTTTTTTTCCTTATACAGACTATATAGTGAACAATTTTTACCATGTGCAACTTCTCCTACATTTCTCAACATATTTTGACCAAACTTTCACAGAGGCTTGCTTTGTCATCAAGTGCCTTAGGGCATATTGTCAGGGTTTTGTAATTGTATAATATTTGACCTAATTATGGCCCTTTGTTTTTTTCCTTATACAGATTATATAGTGAACAATTTTTACCATGTGCAACTTCTCCTACATTTCTCAACAGATTTTGACCAAACTTTCACAGAAGCTTTGTTATCAAGTGCCCTGGCGCACATTATCGGGGTTTTGTGATTGGATAATATTTGACCTAATTATGGCCCTTTGTTATTTTTCCTTATACAGAATATATAGTGAAAAAATTCTTCTGTGCTGAACTCCTACATTTCTCAACGGATTTTGTTCTAACTTTCACAGAAGCTTTGTTATCCAGTGCCTTGGCGCATATTGCCGGGGTTTTGTGATTGAATAATTTTTTATTTATTATGGCCCTTTGTTTTTTTCCTTATACAGAATATAATTATAGTGAACACTTCCTCTGTGGCAATTCCTCCTACATTATTCATGTTTTACATTGCACATAGCTACATTGTTTGTTGCTTGTATTTGTATTTCAAATACAACATATTTGTCTACAATGGTGATAATTGAAAACCTGGTTTCATGGCATTGCCATGTTTCTTGTATTAATAATGTCTCATTTACAAAAGTTGTTGACCTACATTCCATTGGTATGCGTAGTGACAGTTATCCTGATAGTCATTAAACAGTTGTGAATCTTTCCTGAATTGGAAAGTACAAGATTCCCCTTTTCACTTCTTGATTGGAAAATTGTCTATTTGGGAAATAAAACACCCTTTTTAGCTCATCTGAGCTAGCTCAGGGTGAGCTTTTAGGATCCTTGAATGTCCGACGTCCGCCCACATTTGTTCGTTAAAAACACTCTAGCCGTCAAATTATTGCCTCAATCATCATCAAACTTTGTCAGGATGCTTTTCTAGGTAATTGTACGGATGAGTTTTAACATGGGTCATCTCGGATGTAATAATAATATCTGTCATTTGTTGCGGTTCGGACCGGAATATCCGTCCCGAGGTGACCCGCCCATTGGGCGGTAACGAGGCTTGTCGAGTTATCGCCCATGGGCGGGTTACCGAGGGATAGATACTACGATCCGAACCGCAAACATATATCAGATATTTTTTCTTCCATATTCTACAATATTCCATTATATTTTAAATTCTTTATCTTTATTTTCAAAGGAAATTTATATCATTACAGCCGTAACTATTTTCTTACAACAGCGTATGAAATTGCAACTTCATTCATAACGGTAAAATGACGTCATCCTAAGCGTGCCATTGTACAGCACGCGACTCATCTGGCACCCCCATGCCAGATGAAATTTCCGGCATGGATAAGACACACACGGAAACGCCAGTCTGCTATGCAAGAAAACTAGGTCAAAGGAGCTAAAAATAGAAAAATCCTGTTAAGACTCTGCTGGTCACATTTTTGCCTCAATCATCACCAAACTTGGTTAGGATGCTTGTCTAGATAATTGCTCAGATTAGTTCTAACATAGGTCATCTCGGATAAAAAAACTAGGTCAGAGGAGCTAAAAATAAAAAAATCTTGTTAATACTCTAGTGGCTACTGTTTTGATACAAATATCCTGGAAATTGGTCTAAAAGTGTGTTTTGATGATTTCTAGGTCAAGTTCAAATAAAGGTCACCTGGGGTCAAAGACTAGGTCACACTGCTCAGATACGGGAAAACCTTGTTAACAACCTAGTGGTCACATTTTTTAATCAGTTCGATGGGTCAGGTGTGTGATCTGGGGTCATCTTGGCCCTCTTGTAAATTAAATAGAGGATATTTGTTTAGTTCAGTGTAAGATTGGAATGTATTTTACCAAGTAAGAACCAAAAAGTATATTTCACAAGTGGCATATCACAAGTGTGATATTAACTTTTGGTGTTCATTTCATTCTTACACTAAACTAAACAAATTTTCTGTTTACATATTATGCCTTTAAAAAGACATTTTTACCTCATACTAAATGAAAAGCATACCAAATAATAATCATCGTGACGTCATAAACCAGGTCACGCCATTTACTTGGTTCCCAGTATTGTGCACGCTGGTATATCACTGAAACAACTTAACAGGCTTAAATTTAAATCTGTGAAAATATCAAATTGACTCAGATTTATAACCGCTTTCGTGGTCGATGGGTTAGAGTCGATGACTTCTAATCCAGTTACCTCTCTGGCGTGGGTTCGATCTCTGGGAGATGCTTTGGTAGTTTAGCATGGTAGAAGGTAATCTAGTACTGGTGTAACTCTCCAAGTACTGGTGTAACTCTCCAGGAACGATGGTTAGGAAACTACCCGCCTATATGACTGAAATATTGTTGGGAAAAGGCGTAAAATGAAACAAACAAAAAGTCAGATTTATATTTCACTGTTATATAATACCACCAAAAGCATGTAATAAATGCCTTTATTACACTACTGCGCCATGATTTATGTCATGAAGTCATTTATGAAATCCTTTCATTAGTTTTGTCAGTATTTGATTTTATGTTTCCCTTTATATTTTCAGATCCTATATAATCGTACAATGGTACAGTTAGGTCTGTGTTCATTCAGACAAGGGATGACCAAGGATGCTCACAATGCACTGGTAGATATCCAGAGTGGAGGTCGGGTAGATATCCAGAGTGAAGGTCGAGCTAAGGAACTACTGGCACAGGTAAATGACACAAAAAAAATCAGGGAAATTAACATAACATACTAAAGAACATAAATTTTCCCTTAAAATAGAAATAAACTTGGCTCTTGATCATTTTTAAAGCAGGCTAAAAAAGATGGCAACCTGAGCTAAAAGTAAAAATAACTTTTTAAGGAAGTCTCCCCCGAAAGGGTTATTGGCCAATTTTGATACTTAGTATCCATCGCTTGAACTGTTAGTAGTATCCATCGCTTGAACTGTTAGATAGAATAATATTTAAATATTCTCTGCAATCGGTGTTAAGTTTCGGAAGTATTTTAATGAACGTAGTGCGCAAATTAAGTTTATCATCACCAAATAGGGTTTGGGTTAGTTGAGCTATTATGATCACTGCATTGTCCTCGTTGTTGTGCAAAAACTTAAATATTGCCCATTATTCAGAAATTCCAAAATCCCAAAAGCTACCAACATGAAACTTTGAACACTTGCTTATCATCACAAAGTGCAGTTGTCAGACAAGGGTCATAATGCTGAAAGTAATATTTGAGTTGTGCCGCTTAGAACTTAGAATTTTTACTAGACAGGCGTTAACACCACATGCGTTGCTCTTGTATAGATTTGCATTAAAACAAAAGAATCTAAATCTTGGGAAGTATGTTCTGATTTAATATTTTTGTGTGTTGGGCTTAGAAAGTGTACTTTTCTTACATCCTTGTTTAGAAAGCTTAATAATTTATGTTTCTATTAAAACATTATTGGATAGAGCCTGTAAGAATTGACTTTTGATAAAACTTTATTTATGTTTGTAGGGTCTGCTTCTACAGCGCCAGCACGAGCGTACCCCCGAACAGGAAAAGATAGAGAAAAGACGTTTACTACCGTACCATATGCACATTAATCTAGAGCTTCTAGAATGTGTGTATCTTGTATCCGCCATGTTGATGGAAATTCCTTATATGGCAGGTCAGTGATTTTATACGATTGTTGTTATAAAATAACCAGCTGAATATCTAACACCTTGATCTTTTGCATGAGAAATTGATTAGCCTTAACCACCTGTATAAAGCCTGACAATACTGTGGCGGCATGGCCAAGTGGTTAACCGGTCAGACTAGTAATCTAAGGATTGCTTGCCGCGTCTGTTCAAACATCGTCATGGTAAACATGTTGTTTCCTGAAGCAAGAAAAATTTACAAACATTGATAAGTACTGGTTAGTTCCAAGAACAGATTCAAAAGTGTTTCAATAAACTTATAGCTTCCAACACAATCAAAATAAAATAAATTTGTATAAACAGTTTCAGTTTCAGTTTATTGGCAAATCGGCATATACAATATACCCTTTGGCCATTTACAATATACAAAAGGATGGCCAAGATGGCCCTTTGCTGTTGGCTGATTTACATTAAATTTTCATCTTGATGATATAAGACTGTTCCAGAAACAGAATGTTGGCAGGTCCATTTAAGATATTCAGCAATTTATTGGTTTATCATACTTCAAAGTGTCATAATCATATGA